GTAATATACTGTACATTTTAATTTCACTAATAATATAGTAACATTAGTTAAATTGCATTAATATTAATAAAATTTGCAATCAATTTGCATTGGTATTGATAAAATTTACAAATATTTTCGTTAATACTAATCAAATAATTCAAATTATATTTTTAATTATATTGAATAAATTAAGACCCGATACTGCGCCGCTGTATTTTTAAAATTATTTGTTTAATATATAATTTTTTTTTTAAAAAAAAAAAAACTTTGGGATTTTGAACTTCAAGAATTTTAACTGTCAGAATTTGTAACTCGGGATTTTGTTTCAACTGGGATTGGGTTTATCAGGATTTTGGTGTCGGAAATTTGTGGTAAACCCATGGGAATGTGTGGAATTCCACATATTTCTGAACTATGAAGCGCCATACTGATCAAAAATCCAAAGGTAACTACCCGGGATTTTTGACCAACTACCCTGGATAGATCTAGGATATTTACCCTGGATTAACATCCTGGATTATTGAACATTTGAACATTTACCCTGGACCCTGGATGTAAACATGATCATTGAATTTCTACACCGTTTGTGCTAAATTTGTGCCAAACGGGCTAATCATACAACATTTATTCAAAATTTGTACTAAGCACAAACTTTTTTTATAGGGCACCAGAAGTTACATATTATCGGTCACATTTTAAGGAAATTGCCATTAAAACTTCAAATTGACGGTTACGGTACATTTCGCTGAAAGCAATTTCGCCGAAAGCCATTTCGCTGAATGGACATTTCACCGAAGCAATTTCATCGTATGGGCGTTTTCCGAAATATTATTTATTACATTTTTTATTTTATTGTTTTATACTAAATACATGAAGAATCTTTTCTAGAAAAATTTTTGAATTAGCTAATTTTTATTAATTTGTCTTGTTGCTTATAATATATTAATCATTTTTTACTGAATAAATGTTTTCAGGAAAATATAGTTATTTATTTGTTGCTTAACAATTAATATCAGCTACTTGAACGTTAAAGCGATAATATAATAGAAGAAAAGACATTTAAAAATAAAAGAATTTTTTGTTTAAATGTTATTTAACTTTTATTTTTATTGCCAAAAATAGGTGACGTGGCAAAAGAATGTAAAATAGAAACTAAAAAATGAAAAATATACATTTATCATTTGTAAATCAGAATGGGTTTATCACAAATTTCCGACAACCATAATATCGACATTCTACAATTCCAATAGTTACAAATTCTGACAGTTAAAATTCTTAACAGTCAAAAAAATCCCAAAGTTTTTTTTTTTTAAAAAAAAAATTATATAGATTTTATTATAAATTTCTAATTAAACAAATAATTTTAAAAATACAGCGGCGCAGTATCGGGTCTTTAATTTTTAAAAATATAATTTGAATTATTTGATTAGTATTAACGAAAATATTTGTAAATTTTATCAATACCAATACAAATTGTTTGCAAATTTTATTAATATTAATGCAATTTAACTTACGTTACTATATTATTAATGAAATAAAAGGAAAAATTTTTTATTTTAACTAAGAGGACTATGTACAGTGTATCTCAAACTCATTCCAGTCAGGATTTTAGTTGTCAAGATTTTAGATCATCAGGATTCTGTGACTGTCAGGGATTTTTGGCAGATCCCACACAATTTCATTTAAAATTAATTTAAATGAAACTTATTGGTATTGTTATCCCTTGTTTTTTGTGGGGTTTTTACTTTGTTGCACGTATTCTTCACAATAGGCCTTCTTCCTAGTATGTATCCACCAGTTTGAGTAGATTATTTTAGCGATAGTAGTTTAGTAGTATGTTTTCAATTTTGATCTTGTATGTAATATTCTGCTTAAATTCGCGTCATGTTAGGTTCCTAACTGATACCCATAATATAAAAATTATCCCCTGTTTTTTATTTCCTTTTTTTAATACAAGCCCCTGAAATATATTAATTTAGTTGTACTCCTCACGTGATCTCCTTTTTTAAATTCTGGCGGCTGAAATTTCATAACTTATGTTATAAACAAAGCACAGCCGCTTTCTTATCTAAGGAAATAACGACCGAAGATGTCTAAAAGTTTTTTTTTTTTAAAAAAAAAACGAAATTAGTTAAGATATCCAACGCAGTAATACATAATTATTTTAGTATGATTTTCTTCCCAGCATCATGATTAACATGGTTGATGGATGTATAGCAATGATGATAATCGATTCTAAGGTTCTAGATTTGCAAATTAATAAAATTAATATGATATGAAGAAAAAGGAAGATGAAACAAAGTAAATCTTTTGGTGGTTGTTTTTTTCTCATAAAAAAAGTAACTGATTTAATCCGAAAAAAAAAAATAAAATAAAAAACATTTATTTTAATAAAAATCTAACTACAAGAAAATTTAAGTAATCATGAGTCAAATTTTTATTTTGGCATTCGTTTTATTTGCTACACTTTTTGCGGTCAATGCAGCACCACTTGCACTTGAAAAAAGAGATATTCGAATTCAACCATGTCCTGGTTTGCCACCAGGTGTAGTGGGACTCAATGTAACAGTGACACCTGATCCTGTTCCTGGAACAGAAGAAACGTTTGACATTAAAGGAACAACGAAAAAAGACATTGTCACTGGAGATTTTCTTAGTATTGCATTCATCGATGATGTCACGGAACAATCCATAGGAGATCCCCTTGTTTTTTATATGATACTTTACATATATTTTGATTTAATTATTTGATGGTACACCCTAGCGTCACACCCTTCCTTGTTTCCATTTTTCATAAGTATCTGAGGGACTTGAAATTTTTTTAGTAAAAAAATCCTACTCGTCACGCACTATCCGTCACATGTGCGCCATACTTAATTTCAGTCAAGTTGCGTAATGCCGGCCATTTCGTAACATTTTTTTCAGGTTACGCTGGGGTAGTCCACATAGAGGTGCGGCTGTCAATGATGATACAAATAATAAAAAGTTGATTTTGTATACTGGAAATTCAGATAATTTTACTGATCCTTTAATTTATTCATTTGATATACGTACGAATTTATGGACCAGTTCGAAAACAACTAATAATGATATTATTATTGGAAAAAATTAATTACAGGGAGAAAAAAATGATGGACGAGCAACGAATAATATTGATGGCGATTTAAATGATATGCTCATTTTAGATACAATAAATCTTAGTTGGAAAAAAGGAAATTCAATTAATGCGCCATCTCCAAGGAGAAATTATGGAGCGACTTTTTTACTGAATAATAATAACATCATTTATATTGGTAAGTAATAAATTAATATGTTTTAACTTAATACTACCATGTAAATGGTAGCCGGATTTGTTGCCAGGTTACACATGATCTGCGCACATGATCCGGACGATTATTTTCGGTGATTATTATATTATTAAAAAAAAGCTACAAAGTATAGTTATATAAATTTATATTGACTGAATTTACGCTATAGAATAAAAAATATATAATTTTTGGTAATTTCATTTTTATCGTGATGTATTTTTTTATTGGCAAAAAATATGTTATAAAGTTATTTTATGGACTTTTAATTTTATTATTTATTATAATAAACTATTAAGATACTACATTTTACTTACTTTCGCTATAATAGATCATGTATTTTATTTGTAAATATAATTAATACACTGTGTACTAAATAATTTGTTCTTATATATTACAAATATGAATTATTATTAAACATACTATGTAAACCCATATGTAACCATCACCTGATATAAGAGATACTATATAACCCCAATTTGATAACATAAAGTTTATTAGTATTATACTAGTATTATTTATAAGAGGTTAAGGAATTATATATGGTTTCTGTTATATCCTGCAAGGACCCCGAAAAATACATAAAAAGGTCACATTTGAGTTTGCTTAAAAAGAACCAAAATTTTCATGAAAATCTTGCCTTTTTTAGATAGTGCCGGCCTAAATTTTATTGTCCGTTTTGATACTGGCCAGCATTATCATAATTCCGGCCCTGAAAAGTTGCTT